CTTCAATTACATTGGATACTGTGCAATACTTTCGTGGTAGAATAGTTGCATTGGCGCCTACAAACCTAACAGGGATACTTCACTCATTGCGCAATGCATGCAGTATCCCTGTTAGGTTTGTAGGCGCCAATGCAACTATTCCACCACGAAAGTATTGCACGGTATCAAATGTAATTGAAGGCGCACTAACGTATGAAACTTGACTGTTACCGTCATGGTGTCAGGGGGTATATTTTTTAACGAGGAACTTGAATCTCAACTCAATTTTTGAAAATTCAAAAATCCAAAATGGACCACCGGACAAGGTGCGTATATAAGCATTTTGATACATGTTCCTTAACTAGAATTTTACGTAGAACACGATTCGCGGAACGAAAACTAATGAAACAAACTCCAAACGAAGATATTAACGTTTTTATTTCACATTGGTTACGAGGAAGTTGAACTGCCCGCTGACAAGAAACTCAAAGCTCTGCGTTAGTCAAATCGCGCAATACAACGGTTTCAGCAAGCTCCTCAATCGAGTAATGTTCATTTCCCATCATGTGTTGTTCTGTCTTCGCAGTCTCAGCCGAAAACAAATATGACCGTCTGCTGTTGAAGTAAACTAATAATACAAGATAATTTGTGAAGAATCAAAATTTTTGTCCTTTAAGTGAAACGGCTCTTTGTTCATTTACATCAATGGCAGACGATCACATTGATTTTCGGCCAAGAGTGCGAAGTTGATGAAATTCAAAGTTCGCGCCGCGAATCTGGTGGCAGATACGAAAAACTACGTCTCGGCCAAAGAGGTCGTGAGGCACTTACCTTGGGTGTGAGTGTCACAAGCCAATCGTTGAATCAGGAATTTTATTGAATGCGTAAGCTGATGGTCAGACCAAATAAGGTTTGCATGTTTTTAATGCAGATTTTCAGTGTATTGGCTTTCGGACGGTAAAAATCGATTGAAAAATCAATTATTCTTAAATGCGACCTGGCCACTTATTCACATCGTATTTTTATCGGTCAACGTTCAAACAATCTGTGTTTTTTTAAATATCAATCAATTTTGATAATTAGATGTTTTCTCATTGCTTTAAATTTTGAAAACAATGATGAATTGATCAAATGGACGTATATTTGCTTAAAAAAAAAAAAAAAAAAAAAAAAAAAAAAAAAAAAAACAACTTGAGACATGTGGGAAAGATGGGATGTGCTCTAGAAAACTACTTGAGAAAAAATTTAAAAGTAGGCGCGACGTGATTCCTCTTAAAAAAATAACAATTTGGGATTTGTCGAGGGCTTGTCACGAGACCGTCGTGGACAAGGTTCATGAGCTAAAGTGCACCAGCACCGATCTCCTCGTCGTTGCACATCTGAGTCATCACCGCTGACGTCACTGGCATTCATTTTTACGGCCCTTAACTAACGAGCAGACTCCTTATGTTCCAACTGTCTCTGATTTCTTTTAAAATACTGTAAATACTAAATAAATAGTCCAAATATGTGACAAAGAAAATTCAATTGGGTCAGGCAGTCAACCGTCTTAGATTTTGAAAGTCTCAAGATAACATTTTTGGCAATTTCTGCCATAGACCACGAGACAAGGTACGAATTTCAGCATTCTGATGCAAGCTTCTAAACTAAAATTTCACGTAGAATACGACGCGCACAACGAAAATTACCGAAATCAACTCCTTCCAAAGATATGTAATGATTCTTGATGCGTGAATCCAAACCGCCCGCTCATGAAAACTTAATGCTCTTCTTGATTCACATCGTGCGCTAAACGTTATCATGACAGTTTCTGCGATATAAAAATCCGGCAACCTCAATTTTGACGCTTTGGCTCAGCTGTAGCAAATTGCTTATAGTTTGAACAACACATGGTGGCAAATGAACATTACTCGATTGAGGAGCTTGCTGAAACCGTTGTATTGCGCGATTTGACTCAAGCAGAGCTTTGAGTTTCTTGTCAGCGGGCAGTTCAACTTCCTCGTAACCAATGTGAAATAAAAACGTTAATATCTTCGTTTGGAGTTTGTTTCATTAGTTTTCGTTGCGCGAATCGTGTTCTACGTAAAATTCTAGTTAAGGAACATGTATCAAAATGCTTATATACGCAACTTGTCCGGTGGTCCATTTTGGATTTTTGAATTTTCAAAAATTGAGTTGAGATTCAAGTTCCTCGTTAAAAAATATACCCCCTAACACCATGACGGTAACAGTCAAGTTTCATACGTTAGTGCGCCTTCAATTACATTTGATACCGTGCAATACTTTCGTGGTGGAATAGTTGCATTGGCGCCTACAAACCTAACAGGGATACTGCATGCATTGCGCAATGAGTGAAGTATCCCTGTTAGGTTTGTAGGCGCCAATGCAACTATTCTACCACGAAAGTATTGCGCAGTATCCAATGTAATTGAAGGCGCATTACCGTATGAAAATTGACTATCACCGTCAACCATTGTTTGCCAAATGGTAACTTCACGCCGACTAAAACATTTTACAGGGTCCAAATTTTCAAAAAAGATACTCATGGTATAATCACCGTGTTTTAGCGCACTTTTTCGATAGCTCCTGAGTTTTTTTTTTTTAGGTCTAGAGGGATGATATTGAAATAAGTCGAAATTCACGATTTTGCTCAGAAAAATGGCAACGTCGCAGCGTGCCAAACTTATCAGAAGGGGAGCATTGGGAGCATCTAAGCTACTAATTTCACACTCCGATTATAATTTAGGCATCTGTAACGTTAATTTATCGAGAGGGAAAAATCATCAAAAACAGTCAAAAATTCGCTATTTTCATGCGTGAAATTTTCGCGTTGCGTCAAAAGCATGGAGGGGGTCCAAAACTTCACTAGGGTGAAGTTTATGAACTAATTTTGCCCTCTGTTTAATTTGCAGACCCCTCCGACTTTATTTTTTGGGGAGCAAAAAATTACTGAAAAACAGTAAAAATTCGCTATTTTTGCTTGGATAAATGGCAACTGCGCGTCGGGTTAATTTTGTCCGATTGACCCCAAATTTCATTATTCGAGATTTTGAACACGCTGTAACCGATTTAGGGGGTTTCGGCTATAAATTTCCGAAATTCATTTTTTGTGGGCCACCCTACTCCCCATTAATCTCCTGATATACGGTCGTGTTGTAACATCTTAACTTTGGCTCCCAGAATGATTCAAATTCCGTATCGTAAGTTGAATTTTAAAGTGCACAGCAGTTGACGACTAAGAATGGCCCAGATATAATTCCATAAAATCCTTACGACTAAAAAATGGAGAATTTCTGGGAAATAATGTTTCATCAAAAAATTCACATTTTTCATCGTGAAATTCAATTTTAGGGTGAAACAATACCTTTTATACATATAATACATTTCGACGGTGTAAGTCGGCAATTACATAACTCGGTTCGCGACGTGGAAGAGTTCCTTGTCCTACTCTATATTTTAAACGAAAAACTACCAAACTGAGTGAGTTTTTTCTCTGTGCGAGTAACATTCTGCAAAAACTTGAAGGAATGATGTCAATTTGTTCTCAAAAAAAAAATAAAATAAAATAAAATAAAATACATAGAGGCGGAGACTTTTAGACACCGCAAACGAAATATGTGAATGCGGACTTACGCCGTCGATATAAGTCGCTTCATACTATACTCCTCCAACCACAACCCCTCGGGCATCGAGCACCAGTGGCGTGGCGTGCTTTGCGATACATCGCTGTTCTTCCATTTAAACCTATGTTAAAGAATCGATTACCAAGGTGTTCGCTGCGAACACCCTGATTATCGATCCTTTTCCATAGGTTTAAATGACATAACAATCGATATATTGCAAAGTACGCCAGGCCACTGTCGAGCACCTTAACATTTCTGCTTCAATCCCATCCCTCCAACCTCTCATTGGGCACCCTCTGCGCCTTCTCCCAGGAGGAACCCAAGCAAGGACCTCCTTTGGCAACCTGTCTCCCTCCATTCTTTGAATATGACCATACCAAATAAGTTGTTTCGTCACAATGTTACGCACGATGATCTGTTAGGTATTCATGATCTCCCGCACCCTCTCATCCCTGACGCGATCCTTTCTAGAAATACCAGCGGATCTACGCCAGGCGTTCATCTCTGTTGACTCTAAAACCTCCGGGGTCCGCACTTTCATCCGCGGTACGTCACACCCGTGGGTTACTTTACTCTTGACAATCGGACAAATGTCCATAAGGAATATACATATGGACGTATTTCTATCACACAGAACTATGTGTATTATGACGTAAGCCCCGGTATGCATATATTCTTATGGGTCTCGGGGCTCATGTCTTAATGCACATAGTTCCGTTTGATAGAAATACGTCCGTATGTTTTGAACCGTTCTTCTCGTGAGTTTGTGCTGCGAAATCAGTGAAGTCCCGTGGTGGTGCACAGAAAAAAATGGATGGTGCTGACGACAGAACCTTCCATTCACAGGGCTCCACTGCAGTTTCTTTGTTACACTTACAGAACTTTTCTGACTCTGTTCCCACGACCGAAGTTCTGTTCTCACATCAAAAAAGTTCTGTAAAAGTTAAAAAGAAACTGCAGGAGCCCTGTGAACAGAGGGTTCTGTTGTCAGCACCATCCAATATTTTCTGTGTGAAAATGAAAAGTTTAGGTAATTCTATCTTGCATGTAATGCTATCTTGGGGCACTGTAGAAATTTGGTGCTGGCTAATTAGCATATTTTTGATTTCAAATTAGATGCAGAGTATGTGACAGGAATTTCTCTCTATAGGGATTTAGGGGTAAAACGGTTATGTAACTGTAACAAGAGCTTTCATTTTTTAGCACAAAACATTCAGTTATGAGAGCTGATGGTTCTGTCACTGAGATAATACACTTCTGTTGGTGTAACAAAACTCTTCAGTTAGAGTGATAAAAGTCCTTTTGTAAGGGTCACAAACTTCCTGCGGGAGCCGTACGGACAGAGCAGATCTGTCACAACTATACTCTACCATCTCTGCCCATTTCAAACCATTTATTTGCGTGTCGAGGAGTCAGGTCAAAATATTGGATGAAAGTGTTGGTTCAAAAGTTCCACCTCAAGCCATTTTCCAGAAATATATATTTCATTAAATATACATAGAATTAGAATTAGAAATATTTCTAAATCTATTTTTCGCCTTTAATCAATCAAGTGTGTTGTAAGATGACTCTTCAACTTTAATTATTAATCATTTGAAAAACTTTCATCATATAGAACTTTTCTCCTATTTTTAAAAATGAGAAGTTATTAAATGAAAACTTGATATGTTTAAAATCTCATCCCATCATACTTTCAGTGATTCTTATCTCCATGTTTTACTTCCCTTGACTTTGTTTCCATTTCGATTTCCTGTCTCCAGCTTTTCTCTCGGATTAAAAATAACAGGCTACAAGGACAGGATTAATTAATGCATACATAGAGCTAAACAAGCATTAGAACATGTAATATACATTATCTTACCGCAATTGAAGTAATAAGTATCAAACAAGGGTAGACGGCCTTTAAAATTGCTTTGCCAGTATAGTCCTCCATATTTAATGAGCGTTGGTTTTTTTCGATGTTTTTTTACAGGAAACAATAACACATTTTAAAACATTTTAAAATTGGAAAAAAGAATACCTAAACCAAGTTATGTGCTTCCACTCACTGCACAACAGAGAGTGCAGTGATGAAACAAAGTGGAGTTGCAGGCTGCTGGAAAAAGACAATTTTTAACTTTCCTTTGCCAATTAGACGGAGTTCACGTCCATATAGCGTCGATCAGAGAGATATTTTACTATCATTTCCGACCTTGCCTGATAAAACAAAGTATAAGGAAGAAAAAATCTTTGAAACTTGCTGATATGAGTCAATTTGCTAAGACTTAATCAAAAAGTCAGAGTTCGACAGATTGTGACTCATGGTCCACGAGCAGTTAGAAAAAGGTCATTTTTATCTGTTTGGTCTTCCATCTATCTTTAATTCGATTTGTAAGCTATTATCGAGATACACAGTAGTTCTGAAATATTTACCTGTCTAATTGATTTTATCTATCTACCATTTGCGCGTAGTAATATTTTTTTATTTAATAATTCCACTGGCAAGCACAGACGAGTATTTACGTTCTGCACTAAGCATTGTCCGGCGCAGAATCATGTTTTAGAGTGTAAATTTTTAAGATTTCCTTTTAATTCAAGTGCAAGCAACCCACATATGCTTCGTATGTTCTTAATTGATCATTTAGACCGGACAACAGCTATTATTTGAGCAAATCCTAACAAATTATGCTAATTAAGGTCAGGGGGGACTTAACGATCTTGACGGATTTTTTAATCTCGCATTTTCAAGTGACTCATCCGTCTATGAATTCACTAGATATGTGGTCGGAAATTAGCAATACACGGTCATATTTCTCGATCTTTTCAATTATGGGCAATTGTACCTATTTAACTGTGTTTGAATGTGCGATAAAGGAAAGTCACTCATTGTCAGTTATGAGCTGGGTTTGAATCGGCTAGGCATCTAAACTAACTCCACGGTGAAAAAAAATGTATCGCCCGAAAATGAAGGCGCTCTTAACCCGCTAACGGAGCGCCAGCCATTAAACAATCTCAGTGTTGGGATGGCGCGGTGGTCACGCATTCGCTTATCCATGGCGGGCAAGAAAAACCGTTGATGGTGAATTAGAAAATCGAGCACCTTGATTTAAATGGAAATTTTTCTAAATGTCCATCCTATTTTATTTATTTTGAATGAAAAAGAACTATTTTATCTTTGCTTTCATGCCTTACGAGGAGAAGAAAAGTCAAAGAAATTTTCAAGAGATGACTGCAGGACGTCATATCTATCTCAATTTTAGATTCTTTAGGGTCAAACTTGCCTCAAAATTTCCAGATTTTCTTACTCCATGCAATATATGTTACTGAAAACTCAGATATAAAGCTCTGAAAGTTAAGGTCCCTTTTCACGAATCCGTTCACATATCGATGGCCAAAGTACGAAACCACCTATCTCCATTTGCGACGTAGCAGACACCCTACCATGATTTATTTTTTCGTCAGACAACTTATCAACTTAATTTATTGAAAACATTCCTAACTTTTCTTCTTTATTAGCAGGATATTCCGTGGAAATCTCTAGCTATACAGTTTTATTCCTAAAAAAAATAAAATAGGAGCAGTGATTTTCAAACAACGCAATAAAACTGCGCAACGGTACCCCTGAATCCCCCCTCCAAAAAAAGTAGATGGCAAACGATTCTGGCATACGGACTGTGTATCCCTTCCGAATGTCATTCAATTTTTGCGGAGGTATTGCTTGAGCCGTTTTGATTTAAAACGATAGCGGGAGCAGGGTGTGGCTGTGGAGGAAGGGGATCAGTGGCGTGGCGTGCTTTGCAATATATTGATTGATCCTCCATTTAAACCGATGGTAAAGGATCGATCAACTGGGTGTTCGCAGCGAACACCTTCATAATCGATTCTCTACGATAGCTTCAAATAGAGAAACATCAATAATCGATCGTAGGGGATGGAGAGGAAGACGCAACCAGCTTCATCCTGGAGCCCCCCCCCCCCCTCC